TCCCTTAAGTCGGGACCTTCCATTATTGTTTCTTATCCACAAGTAATTTAGAAATGAAAAACATTGTTAGAATATACGGTGCTTACGCGGTCAACATTCTTAAAATGCGGTACAACATAAAATCATGGCAAACAATGATTTTAATACCGCATTTTGTAAACCTATCGATCGATATTTTTACATAGTAAAATGACCCAATTGGTTAATGTTGTGTTCTTAACTCTTTCTTCATCAAAAATGATGATTACAAAATGAAATTCATTAATTTATGAAGAGTTTATTACTTTAGAGCAAAGGAGAAACTGCTTCCTAAATGCTAATTTTTGTTTTTTCAGATTTATCCCAGCGCATGGACCCAATGATTTTCCCCTTTCTTTGAGACTCCGCCAGAGTATGTTCGTACAAGGAAGATTTGACGGCAAGGATAAAAAGCTGTCAATTCTGCTTGAAAAATGTTTTGCCACACCCACTGATGACGAAAATGATGCTAAACGACACGAGATCATTACTGATGGGTGGGGCTGTCACATTGTATTTTTCCTGAAGTAGTTTGTACATAACAAACGAAAAATAGGTCTGCAGTGCGTACGCCTGGTTACTTCAGCAATTCATATTTTTTTATCCTACAGCTGCGCTGTCGGCGATACGCTTCAACAGCTTCCGTCTCCAAGAAGAAACTCTCGTTTCAACCTCGAAGCCTTTCAATTCGTCAAGCAGCCCTTCGTTTTTATACACTGTCACGTGGTAATCTGCAATGTATTGGACCCTCAGTCGAGGTGCGCCCGTGGATGCGAGTCGGGTGGCCGAGTGAGACGCGAGCTTGGCGAACAATAGGTGTATTCCCTGGCACAAGGACCAATAACACTAGACTATCATAACGCTTATAAACAAGATGAAAAGTTTACCAATGATAAAACGGCCACAGAAGGTATTTTGAGCGAGATCCTAATTATCTTTTTTAATCTGAAGGTTGGTTTGGAGAAAAGCGAAGTAGTGAACGAATTCGAAGTACTTTATATTCTCCATCTCGTCGCTTTTCTTACACGGTAAATATGGAAATCATTACGCCCATAACTTGACTAAAACTTAAAGTTCCTGATTGTTTGAATGTTTGTTGTCAAAACATACGGAAAGATGAAGAAAAAAAAACTCATTTAAAATCTGATATTCATATTTTTAAGATGAAAGCATTGTATCAAAGACGGATCACAGACGTCCGCCCAATATCCAGCTTTGGAAAGTTAAATTCCCGGTTAATCTTAAGTTCAAAGAGAAGCTATTAGTACAAGTTTGCGGAAGAAATAATAATAATGACAAAAAAAATTATTTAATGAAAAACAGATAAAAAAATTTGAGAAGCGAAAGCCGAAGAAACGATAGGAAATCAACAAATTTTCTTCCATCTATCACAGACATATAATCAGAATGTACAAAAATCTTCCACACTATAAATATTACCCTTTCGAGTATGATAAAATAGATTTTTTATGTAGATCGACTGACTTCCTTGTTGATTCCTTTTTAAGAAATAACAATTTAGAAATTAGCTTAATTTAGGTTGGAAATTTTAAATAACGGCTGTGAAATGTCTTTTACTTTTAAGCAGATATGAAAATTCCAATTCTTACTGCATTGGCCGCCTTTACGACTCTCGCTGTGCTCGGCGTGGCATTATTTATGGCAATGAGAAGGCGATAACAGCTCAAGTACTAGTAATTCTGTCAGCTTTAGGTCCTAAAAGGAACAAAATTGATGTAAAAGCTTCAGTTTACCAAATAAAAAAAACTTGTGTTAAAATTTCCCAAGGTGCTTCTTGTCTATGTATAAAACTTTGTATCATGAGTAAGACCATTAGAATAATTTAAAAAACCAACTGTAACATTTCATCGTTCTGAAGCAAGTTTTATCAAACCTGCTCGCTGGAGCTCTGGCTTTATCTAAAACGATAAGTGTTCAACCTTGGTATACGAATGTTGTTTATGAAAACTGGGTACCGCCGTTTTAAAGATGTGACATTTTCGTCTAAAAATAAGAAAGGTACAACATATTCCATAAAAATACTAAACTTCGGAGTAAAAATTGCTATGTTAAACTGTTCTCTGCGTAACGCAAATATATCTTTAGGTAAGTAATTTCCAAAAATTCCAAAAGTAGTGCATGGAATTAAAAAGGCATACCAATAATCCGAATAAGCTTTTAAAGGCTGGCCCAGTTTCACCCTTGATGCATTGCAAATATTCCGTAATCGAAAATTATCGGCCAAGCGGGTCACGATAGGCAAAAAGCCAATCAAAAATGAGATCTTCATTTCGACAGTAACAAACGGCCGCAAAACCGAATAGGTGAAACTGGGTCTTTAATTTTTGCCGGGAAAAAGATAGTCGGCTTCCGAAGATAGGCGTTAGTAATTAAAAATATATGTTGATTGAAGTTAAAAGGGTCCTGACAACCGCTACTTGTATTGTATCATTTATTTGCTCAGCTTTTACGTCATTCGTATAACGACACGACCTTTTGTATTTTCTCTTAAGAAATTAGTCCCCTCGTAAGCAGTTGAAATTATCATCTCGTTCGTAAAATGACATTCTAGTATGCCGAACTGAAATGTGAACTTTGAAAACTTACAAGCTGAAATTATCATTGGTTTTTTAAAATAATAGTTGTAAAAGTTTGATATTAAAGTTTCTACGTGCATCTGTAGCGTTAAAATTTCGTTTTCACATGTCTGTCAACTTGAAAAATTGTCAACGACTCTTGTAATAAGAAAAATTGTCATCGTTTTCTATCTCATTACCGTGAAAAACTTGCTAGGATAAAACTTCAAAATGACAGCATAAAACAAAGGAGAAGAGAACGTGCTTTAAGTGTTCACCACCGAACGAATTCTGGCCAAAAGTAACCAGCGAACGTTTTCATATCTTATAAAAAGTTTTCTTCGTTTTATTTTGGAGCTTACTTTCGATGGCAATTAAGACATTTGTTTTCATAAATTCAAATCTCTCTCACCTCATAAATGGCAACTGTTAAAGCGAACGTGATATTTGCATAGCACGACAGGTTTTGCATTTTGGTAGCTAATGGGGACTATACCCAAATCGATTCAATACTTGGCAAAACTAAGGACTAATACAATCTTGGTTAACAAGAGCGCGCTTTAATTTTGTACCTGTTTGGCAAGTTCGGGTTGTCATTTTCTGCTTTACACCTTGACTACTGGCTCCTATGGTGTGCAAATTTTATGATAACCATAATTCATTCTATTAAAATCAAACGTCACAAGTTCTCTTGATGTGTATTTTGAGCTCTTTGAGCCAGTACCGAGATGTCACCTTTGCTTTCTAATAACATGAATAAAATTACTCAAGAACAGAAAATCAAGAAACCGTAACTTCAAAACTTTGAACCAAAGCGACCCGGACGGTCTTCACTGAGCGTTATTTACAGAAAGATCGGCCAATGCCAGCAGGTACTCTACTGTTCTGCGGCTTAAATGCATGTCCACGCTGTACTATGAATTGATTATATTACCTGTACTGCTTTGTATATAGGAGATTTTGTGAAAGATTAGAGAACTTGAAGAAACGGCTGTTGCACTTCCCAAGTCAAATGGAGCTCTGCGAAAGTAGACTTGAAATTTATAAAATACTTGTGCATTTTTATGGAACAACGGTTCTAATTTTTGCCATTTTGAACTTAGCGTTTGCTGTAGTGGCAACCTTTGCCAATATCCTGGCTATTCGAGCTTTATGGAGAGCATCATCTATACCAAGTACCTTGAAAAAACTGTACCTAAGCCTTGCCGCCTCTGACCTTGGAGTAGGCGTTCTTGCTCAGCCTATGTACGGTATACTTATATTAGTAACTTGGAAGAAGGAAACCAGTGAAAGCAACAACTCTGGCTTTTTATGTCCTATCATCTTGACTGTAAATCATTTTTGCATATATCTTCTTAGCAGTGCATCTTTCCTCACGATGATCGCCATCGCTGTGGATAGACTTCTTGCGATATTTCTTCACTTGCGATACAAAGAACTCTTTACTCCTTGTCGCGCTATTACATTTTTGGTCACTTTGTGGTCGGCAAGCTTTGCCATCGCCATCCCCGTAAACATTTTTATTCCAACGCAGAATCTTTTGGTGGTAGCTATTCTTGAATTTGGTGGACTTTTCGCGACAACAGTTATTTACATCTATATTTGCAAAGTTGTTCGTTATCATCGAATTAGGATACTTGAGCAATGTTCTTGTCAAAATCGTCAAGCGATGGAAGCTCTCCGAGAAAAAAAGTCAATGATTAATTCCCTGTTCGTTCAAATTGTTTATGTGGCCTGTTATCTGCCAAATTTGTGCTCTATAATTTTGCTCTCAGTGAGTCCTGATCGACCCAATTATTTGGAAGCGCATCATATCTGTTCGTTTCTGGTTCTTCTGAATTCATCGATTAACCCCTTTGTTTACTGCTGGAGATTTCGTGAGCTTCGAGAAATCATGAAGTGCATGATAAAGAAACTCATCAAACTTCCAACGTAACCATCACATGAAAGGAGCGTTAATTCATATCGTGATTATTGAAAAAATTGAGTATTTAAGAATTAACGTTTAACGTACAAGATCCTAAGTACTAGGTATCCTAGGTACTGGATTTGTTCGAGTGAAGGTAAAATATCGTACACCATATATATCATACTTACTAAATAATTAGAGCAGTACAAACGAACCGTGCATATACAATATTTTAATGGTTATGAAAAACAAACCACTTTACTTGGGTACATATGTATTTTTTTCACGTTTTGCACAAAAAAATGTAAAATTTCCCGATAAGATCTTGTGACATACGTGAAGTGGAAAGAACCCGAGGTCAGTTTGTAGTGAGAAATTACGATTTCGTAGAATAAGAATATAAAAAGTGCTTTGATTGTTGTGCTTTTTTTTTTTTTTTATCAGATTCCGGGTTTAGTATCAGCGTCGGTGTTGTTTCCGAATTACTTGTTTTCTGAATGAGACTCAGTCGCTGTCTGTGCCACGTAAAGCCCATTAGATTTGATTTTCTCAAGTTCTTGTTGTAGTCAGTGGTTAGGAAATTTGCCAAACTCTTACCCACGAGTTCTGAAAGTTTACTTAATATCGATTTCTCTTTTCACCGTGTTTTCAATCGCAGTCGCTGATGTGGCTTTCTCAGATACCCACCCAAAGTAAAGCTGAAGATTGCGAAAGAGAGAAAGTTACCTTGCAGGAAAAGGTAAGGCGCGAGAAAATACATAATTTTCTCACGTTCTTCTCCTGATAAATCTATTATCTAAGTTCCTTTTGATATTCAAATGTAGCATTGAGATCATGATGTCTTTCGTCGAATATTTATAGAATTCACTCAGATTTGCATTTCAATGCAATATGGTTAAAAAAAAAAAAACAAACAACTCCACGGAAACTGACATTGTGTTCGAGCCGTGCTCATTTTGCTGATGAAAGTCTGTTTTTATTTGTCAAGCGGGTTAGGGGTAACGTTTAGGCCTTAGGTGAGCGCGTTATCCTTGAATACTAAAACCTTGGAAAAAGGTGCTCAGGTTGATGAAATTTCATGAAATCAATATCATTTACTTCTCATTTCTCGACTTAATTCCATAGTGAGCAAACCATATCCTTGCTCACCTCTTTCTATAACGTAAAGGGAGTCACTGGGAAAGAAATTAAACAAGTTTTGGCAAGTACTTTGAAGAATTCGTCATTTTATTCATTTTCGTAGTTCGCCTGACTTGCCCCTAAATCAGATCTCGAGCCTTTCGAAAACAAACGAGTTTCTTGTTGAAAACGACCAATCGAAGGAATTATTTATTAAACGCTTCAGCTCGCCTGTCAGAAACGAGAAGGTTTAATTAGTTTTCTAAGTTAATAGCAATAAAGGTGATAACAATAATAATAGCCTTCAACAATGATAATCATGATTATTAAATGATGCGTGTATCCGCTAGCTTTTCTAGGATTTTTATTAAACATTTACTGGATTTTTCGATTTTTAAGCATTTTATCAAAAGTTTTGTAAATATTTTTAGTGATTATAGTGAATAATAATAATAATAGTAATAATAATAACAATGACTGAAATTTATATAAAGCCCAACCTGCCTAGCTGTCACGAGAGAAACTAGAGAGAGGGAACAGGAGCTACAGATTACAGCTCCATAGAAACCCTCCAAAACCATACAAATAGAGCATAAATATTACGAAAGCCAGAATATTTGATAAAGATCGGTATCTTGTTCCCCCTTTTCGCGTCTTTTCTTTACGATATGTATGAGAAATTCTTACTTAATCCACAAAGTTAAATAGATAAGCTTATTAAACTCAGTTATGTTTTAAAGCCTAACAATGGACCATTTTTTGTTATCTTCATGATATTTTTCCATTGCCAAAATATTGGTCCAAGTAATTATTTACACGGTGGGGTGACGAAATTCTTAAAAGAAGTAGGAGCATCAGATGAGGAATTTGTCGAAAATCGGTGGAGGAAAGCATTTTTCATGGAGCAATTTGATAAGCCATAAATTGGACATTTTATTCTTATAGTGTTCGATTTACCCATGAACAACAGCTTGTATATGCTGTATGTAGTCTTACAATATCGGAAGATCGAAATTAAGTATTAGTATATGAGCAGCTGCAATTCAACACCTTGTTTACGAATGATCTCAGTTTAGAGGTTGTTCTAGGTGAACACTGAACGTTAACAAGACTTTATTCGTTCTCTCATTTCATTTGTCGAAGCCAGCTGACAGTGAATAGCAGGTACTACATCCAAAACTACATAATTTTTATAAAAAAGAAACTCTTCCGCTGACCTTAACTTCAATGTCATACATTTTGTTTCTTTGAAAAGCGTTTAAAAATCATTTCTCGCTAACAACCGTTCGCCACGCAAATTTTCATCAGTGCCATAGCCTTGATCAGAACTTCAAAAACTGCGGGTTCTGTTTTGTTGAAGTACAGTTGAGAGTCATCATTTTCACCTTTATTATGGTTACGGACCTCTGCAGAGATAAACTGCAAGAATACGAAATACTTGTTAGTCATCACAGGAAGTTTATGTTGTCTTTTTGCGTTCTAACTTTCACGTTTTCTTTCGTTGCAACTCTTGGAAATCTCCTTGTTATTCGTGCTCTTTGGAAAGCGTCATCATTGCCCAAAAATTTAAAGATGCTGTTCATAAATCTTGCTGTCTCCGACCTGGCAGTAGGATCAGTTGTGCACTCGATGTTGGGTGCAATTATCGCAATCGTCTTGTACAAGGAAGCAAGGGGAAACCACAACCAAACAGTTAACATGCTTTGCCCAACAACTATAACTATCTTTTTGTTCCTGTTGTTAATTTTGGTCTCCGCTTCGTTCTTCACCATTAGCGCGATTGCTATCGATAGATTTCTGGCCATCTCTCTCCCTCTACGATATCAAGGACTCGTCACTTCAAAGCGGGTTTTCTTCGTCTCGATAAGTGTGTGGTTGATAGGTTTTGCTATTGGAGCTGCATACATCTCAATAGCCGCGCGCTATAACCTTGCAGTGGTTGTAGCCGCTCAACTGTATGGACTTGTTGTGGCTACTGCAATTTATATCTATATCTACAAAATTGCAAGATATCACAAGAATCAAATATTGACCCAATGCCAGTTGCAAAATGACCAAGCCATGAAAGTCCTTCGAGAAAAGAAATCTGCCATTAGCGCGTTGCTTGTCTACATAGTCTTAATGGTTTGTTATGTTCCAAACTTGGCCTGTTCAGTTTTACTTTTAATTGACAAATTTCAAATAACATTTTTGGTCGCCAATCGTGCCTCCTTGTTTTTGGTTCTTTTAAATTCCTCTCTAAACCCGCTCATTTATTGTTGGCGTTACCGCGAGCTTCGCGAAATGGTGAGAAAAATGGTTTGTCAAGTATTTCGGATAGGTTCAAACTGAAGCTTGCCTCACGTTTAACAACAGGCATGTTATTGAAATAACGTAAATTATTTTTTCTACCCTTCAACTTAACAAATATGCACTGTCACTTAGCAGCCTTATCGTGATAAATTACATGATTTTCTTTGTTTTGCTAATTAAGAGATCTTCAGTCGTGACAGTGCAATACACACTGTTTTCGCATTCATGAAACGACTTGTTCCAGCATCTTTTTTACCTATTGGAAAATGTACTTTGAATTGCTCAAAATCATAAACTGAAATTAACATAGATCTTTTAATGCTATTTCCAAAAATGTTCCTTTATATTTAAATTTTCATTTCGTTCGTGTTTTCCTACGATCTAGGCAGGACACTGAGTTTGGCTATTGGCAGCTGGTGTGTTTTTGAATTTGTAGAGAGATTTGGTGTATTATTTGTAATTATAACATGCGAAATAAGTTTCACAATAAAGAAACCACAAACACAGTACAGAACTCCGTTCTACTGGCAACCTTTTGAGAAAAAAAAGGTATACAATATTTTCTGCTCATGCTTTTTTTTTTTATAAATGTTGCGACTAATCTAAGTGGCTGACGATTTCAGTAGTCACTGCCTTTCATACGTCGTGATTAATGATATAATTACCATATGTGCATTTCTTTTAGAATCAGTATATTTGAATAATGATTAAAAAGACTTTAATGGCAGTGACAATGCGAAATATCTTATAAGCGAGCTACCATACGTTCTAATAGGTTTTCTAGCCTTATCAGTTTCACCGGTTTCATTATCCATTATGTTCAAGGGTGCCAAGACAAATATTGAAGGGTAGATGAAAAAGCTTTCGAGGGGGACTATTGGCAATGATTGACAGAAGAATCACAGGATGCATGCATTTCTATCGTTTTATTTGTAAAGAAATCGTAGCGAGATTTCTATAAATGTACCACAGTGATACAAACCCAACCTTTGAACCCTTCAACCCGCTCATTTTTTGTTGGCGATACTGCGAGCTTCGTGAAATGGTGAGATGGCAGACAGTAAGTAGAATAAATGAGAAGATCTTGGGTATTAAAGGGTCATGCAGGAAGAATATATGTATTAATGTAATACAAAGGACTAGGGTTTTACGAAAGATTTTATCAAGTTTTACCAATCTTAACGAGAATTACGTTTCCACCAGTCAATACTAGTGTGGTCTGCTTCTCAAAGCCACAGATGCAACATCGAAGACAACAAGAGCTGTAATAGCGGCCATTGCAGCCACTATTGGCATAACGACTTCAGCTGAAATGTATTCTCTAGGCTGTTAGTTTCGAAAGAAACTGTTTGGTGCTGCGTCGGTGGGGGTAACGAAATAATTTGGATATATCAACAAAGTTGAAATGGTAAATTGGCCACCGTAACGATTACAAAAGCAATCTGCGGTCTTTCCTTACACTTAGGTAGCACGGAAAGCCGTAAAAATCTTGAACGAAAGCTCGTTGCCATGTTCCCACCAATAACGTAGCTCCATTTTCTGCCTTTAAAAGCACACACAACCCACAATTCCTCTATTCGCTCCGACGAAGGGCTAACGCTCGAAACGTCAGCTTTTGTAATCGTTACGGTGGCCAATTTACTATTTCAACTTTGATATATCCAAATGTATTCCCTAGGACCTTGTTACTATAAACAATTGCAGAATTGGATGACCTGCCCGTACTTTTGCATCCAGTCAGCGGCGTTTGGAGAGTGAAATGCGTGTGAGTTTCTGTTGCCCTACAACTTTGGTCGAGTAGACGGATGTGTTCCCGATCCATTCCTTTGAGTATGGGCTTAAGGATAGTAATGGATATGTCATCTTGACGACAATCCACAGTGACTCCCTGAGCTAGAAAAAGAATGAACGGTGTAAATTGTAAAGAACAATTTTTCAATCAACTGCCGAAAGCAAGCTTGGTTTATACTGGTTTTGTTTTATACTTGGTTTTTTGACCACTCAAAAAAATGGGTCATCCTCAGTGTAAAAACCTGACGGGGTTTTCTTTGTTTCATTAGGTATTGTTTTGCTGTACGCTATTGTTTATAATGTTTTGTTGTCTTTGTTTTACGTCACTCGTGAGCTTCACAGGTTTTTACAACGAGGATAAGCCAAAAATATCGCGTCACCAATCAATGAGGTGCAAAAGTTAAAACCATTCGTAACATAGTCGCTCGCAGTTTACCGCGGTTCAGACAGCTTACCTTTTTTTAACTATGTGTTCTCAGGAACTCATATGACCGCTCAATTTTTACACGGGTGTCGAAATTAGTCCGGGATTGCTTTTTTGATTCGCTTTGTGATTGGTCCAGAAAACTCGCGCCACTCTCTTAACCAATTAGATGCAAAAGTAAAACCAATCATGACTTGGTCACCTGCGTTTTCCCGCGCTTTAGGCAGTTAAGTGGGTTTTCTAGCTCTCCTTGGCTCTGAGGTCGAGGGTTCAAGCCCCGGCCGGACCAACACTCAAGGTCTTAAAATAATTGAGAAGAATATGCTACCTTTCTATAACATCAAGAAATGGTTAGATATTCTAGTCTTCTCGGATAGGGACGAATAAATGGAGGTCCCGTCTCCTACAGGGTTAGGGGTAGGAGACGTTAATTTCCCACGCACGAGATTACTGTGTAATGGATGTCCTCCCCTGGGGTGGGATGGGTGGCATAGGATTTAATGGGTGGACTACTCGCATGGATCGCATATGTTCCGTTCTAGTCCTACCCTACTGCGGTAATGCAGTGAAAATGGATTAGAAAAGAATAAGGGTATATGCCTTTCTTCTGATTGGCCGTTTTGAATACCATATTTGGCTTTGGTTTTACTTAATCGAAATGCACTCTAAACAGAATATCCTTCAAAAAAATTGCAGAAAGTCCGAATACAACGCAAGTTTTAATTTGTAATCTGATACTAAAAAAATATGCCAAAAACAGGCAGAACTACTGCTTTCAAATTTCTATCTCTCTTTCTGACAAGGCTTAGGGACGCCATTGTTACCGTGACCACTAATCATAATCAGTATATGCCACACAGGTGAATAGTACTTTCGCGCGCGTTAATAGGCCATTTTACAGTTCTGTGCTTGGTTGCCAAGCCTTTGATTTGGAGTGAGGCTGAAGGTGACCTTGCTGTGATAGAGACCAGCAGCTATTTAGCATGATAACAAAGTAATTTACATCTGAAAAGCAGCAACGTCTGTATCATAACAAGGTCACCCTTAGCCTCACTCCCATTCAAAGGCTTGGCAACCAAGCATGTAACTGTAAAATGGACTATTGGCTAGTTTAGAAGTGATAGCAAGTACTACTCACCTCCGAGCAGTCGATGAGACAAAATCGCGCGTCAAGAGCTTAATTTCCGACCATTTTTCGTTATATTGAAAGAGATAAACTAGTTTTTTAGTATAAATGTGGTATCTTCTAACTCAATGTCATTGAAAGGGGTGGCCAGGAAACGAGCGGTAATCCTTAGTTATTTCATTTTTTTTCCAATAAGCGCTCGAGACAAAAGCAAGAAAATGAATGTACATGGAATTAATCATTCGTTCGTTTTTTTTTGTAGCCGAAATGACCATTTTGTATAACTGAGCCTTCTTGCAATAGAAGAATTTCAAAATATTGAATAAAAGAATAATTATTTCAAAGAGATTTGACTTTTATTTTTAAAGTACCTATACAGGTATGCCCGTCTTTAGCAAGTGAGGATAGTTCAGCATGAGGACATGTACACTCATAACTTCCTTGTGTGTTTATACACTCGTGAGAGCATCCACCATTTTTCTCTGCGCATTCATCAATATCTGGAACAAAATGAGAAGTTTTTGTAAAAATAGTCACGCATCGAAAGGCCTATGATTAAAAGATCATGCCATCGTAAAGCATATTGTTCACACGCATCGTCCTTAAATCCTTTGGTACATTTGCAAGTACCGTAGTCGAACCTCGATTATCCGGACTCGTCAGGACCTCGGTAAACGGATAATCGAGAGTCCGGATAATCGAAAATAGGAATATTAATGAGATAGAAATGTAAACAAAAGGCATACAGCAAAGGAAACATCATTTGAATTGTGATTTCTACACGACCTGTATGCATTTACAAATAACGCATCAGAATATTTCTTTGTCTCGTCGCACTCGCGAATTTTGAAAAGCGCACAGGATAATACGTTGTTTCGACAGTCTTTTGAAAGGATTATTGGGCTACTTGCAACTCTGAGTTTTCAAGATCACATCTAATTAATATTCATGAAAAAAATTGGGACAAGAGAAAAAAGTCCGGATAACCGAATAGTCCGGATAATCGAGGTCCGGATAATCGAGGTTCGACTGTAAAACTATCGTCTCTGACTTCCGAGCAGGTTCTTCCATTTTTATATGGGCTGTTTTTGCAGGGACTTGCTAAATTGATGAAAACAAAATTGAAAGTCTTACGGATATGGCTGAGAGTTGTAATTCTTAAAGGGTTCGGGATTAGAGGCATGTCTACAGCTTGCAGCTTAGCTAACGCGAGTTACATAACAAAAGAATTCTCGGCTTCTTGAGACACTTGAAGAGCGACTTAACAAGAAAAGTTATCAAAGAAGGCAACGCGAAAATTCTTAAACAGACACGCTTTACGGGTGAGTAAAAGTCTGCGGGTGAATAATTTAACCTGATGTTGAACGTGCTTTATACTACGAGGAAGGAAAATGATATCTCAATACTAAACATACCACAGGTGCACAAATTCACAAAGCTTGAGGTTTTTTTCGCTCGTATCAGTGAAATGATGAGAAAAAGAACCTTTGGTCATGCAAATAGAAGAAATTATGAAATGACGTTTCCAGGGGTAGTGCGAGCTAGGACTTATCTGGTCACATAGAGGTTTGCCTTTAATATTGTACCTCAGTACAAGTTCATTGTCGGCCTATGATGCTATCGCTTAAGGTGGCTCGTACTATTTTCCTCCCGCGGGGAGCAGATAACTCTTGCGTCACGCGCGAGAGAAACGTGCGAAAGACGCGCGAGATTAAAAGACGAAAATTTACAACAAAGATGGCGGCGGAAGGATTTTTTCTACTTTTGTGAGAAGTTCACCTAAGAGTGTGTATTTGATGTGTTGAACGGGCACTGTGAATGCAGGAGATAGAAACTAAGATAAAAAGACGATTTTCGGAGAAGTAAAGGTTGCTTTACTTCACATCTAAAAGAAATAATCAACCGATATGAAATCTTGCGACGGCGAAAAAAGAAGAACTCAAGTGAAGGATAATCTACCTGAAGTGGAAGAAGACTTTGAAACTTAAAGGAAAATAATATGATATAGCCAGAAGTCGTGTGTAGGATTTTTAAGATGAGCCCTGCTGACGTGAGCAAATGCAAAGACAATTTTTCCGCGCGCGCTTGTATTTTCTGGTCACGTAAGATTTGTTAAATAAAAGGGAACTCTTTAGCTACAATGTATCAATGTTATGTTATAAAACAAATGGTAAACACCTCAGCGTATATTTTTGAGTTATGGATGCACTTGGGAGGTTTGCTAAGCACTCAAGAAGCTAGAGTCGCTCTCGGCTATCGCCTCGCGCGACTCTTACGCTTCTTTCGTGCTTAGCAACCTCCCGCGTGCACCATAACTCAATAGTGTACGCTGTGGTGTTTACCATTTGTTAAGTAGATAGGTACGAACGTTGCGATCGACTGATTTCTATTTACTGTTTTCAACTGAAAAAGTTTTGCCTCTATTTCGGTCAAGTGTTGGTCTACTTAAGACGGCCGACTGTTGGTAATGTGTCGGTGATGTGTCGGCCGACAGTTAACCGACAGGTTACCGACAGCCGAAAATGGGAACCATTGTTCACGATTACCGTCTTGTAAGAATCATTTGGATGTCACGCAAGAAATACGGTCAAGGCCTGAGTTAGTTCCTTCTGAATGTGTTGCCAGAAGATTAGGACGCGTGAAATACAACAGCTGGGGCGTGTAAATTCTTAATAGAACATAATAAAACTTGTGTACGAGAATATTATCGCCTGTTTTTTTACGCCCAAGCTTCCTGCTATCACCACAATCGAAATCATCAACTGTATTAACTGCCGTCCTGGGGTCTTTTCTTAAGTTATTTAAAGCATTTAATAAAAGCTCCTTAATTTTAATCAAGCCGTTCATAATTTGTTAGTAAATCAAAGAAAACGTTTAATAAACTCGTGGGTAAAGAAGTCTAGAAATTAGCTTGGCGAAATTTTTGTGCACTTGCAATTTTTTGTCTTTTATCATGCAAGGTTGCTCGCATTGTATGACGAAATATACTCTGGTAGCTCACCCTGATATTTTCGACAAAAGTTTTTGTGACCAGGTTAAGATTGAGGCCATCCTTACAGAACCAGTTGAGAGGAAAACATTGAAAACATACTTGAGAAGTGGCAAAGCTTGGATCAAGGAAATCAGTTGTTCGTTTACTGCAATTACTTCTGTTCTCGAAACCCGCAAGTCCCGTCCACTTTTTAAATCTGTGAGTGTTGTGCCATGAGTCTGGACACTAAATATGGCGTCTAAGCATCGAAGGTCGGAAGGTCGACATTGACCTAGGATTACAACCAAATAATAGTTGTTTGCGGGACGTAATATTGGTAGCTGCCCTAAATTTACCCGGGCTAAGGTAAATATATATTACTGTGTTTATCTTAAACGCGTTTGATCCTGGCTTATTGAAGTACAGGCAGGTGATGGCCGTGAAGGTTTGTGTTATATAGTGAAAAGTCTGTGTTGGTTCATTTCTACTCAAGCGTTACAGCTCATACGACCTTTGTCCTTTTTGCGGTATTCTCTGCGAATACTGTTCAAGCAGCTAAAGAAAAATCAGCCGGTCAAGGTTCAAAGACAGGACGTATGTGGCTGTTTTATCGTAGTTAAGAAACAAGTAATCGGTGAAAACCCTGGCCGTCGGGGATTCTTGAGAACAACGGTGTCTTCTTTCTTCAACTTTTCGAAAACTCTTAGAAGCATAAGTTCATAAGTTTATAAGTTTATAACGAAATTTTCTTTATTTGTGGCGGTAAATTTGAGATCGAAGTAGGTGGTTCGCACGTTACCTCATTGCCACCATGCTGGTGAAAGTAAACGATAGCTATCTCATTAGCTCCTTTTGCTTGTCTACCAGCATTTGAATTCGACCCACACACGTCAACGGTGAGTGATAAATGAGCCTAGGTCTTCCCAGGGAAGACTTCCTTATATTGCGTGCCTTCGTGTTTAAAGCCGAAGTTTTCATCGCTGTAGCCCAAAAGAACACTTTGAAGAATATGCGTACTAATGTGAGGGTGTGAGAGGGTGGAAGACCATTTTTCATGAATGAGATTTACAGATAAACTATTATTATCTTAAAGTAGTAGGAATTTTTTACTAGACCCTGGAAAAATTCTAATTGGCTCTTGTTGTCTCTACCACAGCAAAATTTAGCTGGTTTTAGACTTTGTGGCAATAAATTCATGATAATTAAGTCAAAGAGGATTCAAATCTCAAGTTACAAACTTTTGATGACAGACTTGAAATCAAAATGTAGCGAAAAGAACATACAGCAAGACTAAGCAAATTCCTTTAACATTTTAGACCCTCACATCAGTATTTATATTCTCCATACTGTTCTCTGCACATTTCCTGAGGTGCTGATAAGGAGAATTTGTTTAACAATCAAGAGCTTCTTAAGTTGGTGATCACTTTCTTAATTCTCAGGACCTTGAGATTTGATTCAGAAGTGATACTATAGGAGAAGTTATATACCAGCCTTTCTTTTGGATTAAATGGTTAAATTAACCTAGATGAACAGCTGCTTTAAATCCACTTTGTTATTCAACTACACTCCGTTGTGTACAGATAATGCCCAAGATGAGTACAAATATCAGGTGGTATTTGTTCTCCAGAGAACTGGTTAGGCAGGTTTTCTTGCATTGCACAAGTGACAAATTTAATTGAAGTTACAAAAACAAAATGGTGGACAATTAATTTTAAATCATTTTTCTGATGACGAAGATTTGGAATGGCTGGTGGATACTGATCCAGGTTTATTAGATAAATCGAATGAAGAAAAGCAGTCAGATGACAATGAAATTTCATCATTTATTGAAGAAAATAGAAACAGCGACATGACCATGCACCAATTCTGTCATGCACTCCCTGCAAATAAATATTGTGCTCGTTAAGTTTTTGAGCCATTTTGCCATTGTGTTTTTATCTGGTTTTGGGATTGTTGTGATATTCAGAGCTTCTTAATATCTCCCATAATTGGAACTTGTGAAGAAGGTATAAACAAAGAAAACTAGTTTCATGGTGAGCTTAAGATTACTACTTATCAAATCCAATAGCGGCCGTACTTTTAAAATTGTTCTAAGACAACTCCCAATGTCACTTAGAATCTGAGTTTACAAAATCTCAAAACTAAAGATAAGGTGAAAAATATGAAATATTGTGTGTGGTGCAATTGCACACCTCCACTGCTAAAGAAATAACTATGTCTACCTCAAAGCTCTGATAAATTATTACTTCTTACTATTCTCAAAACAGTGGCAGTCATGCTTTTAAGAGTAATCCTGAGGCGACCTCTATGTCATTTTATTTGGAAGAGGAAAAAGGTTAGTATTAATAGCTTTTCTGAAATCATAGAATGATGCATGTATACGATCAAAGTTTTGTTCACTATCAATGTTTTCCTTACAGTTGTGTGGTGTTTGACTGTTTAAAAAATTGCTGCATTCTAAGCTGTCAAAGAACTGCATTTGCTGTGGTTTTGGTGCACCAGACTCAATTAAAATAAAGGAAGATGCAGCTTGTTGAATTAGGAAGGTGCAGCTTGTTGAATTAGGAAGGGCATTTACAGTTATGAATGGATAGATGTTGTAGTCCTTGCAGATGAAAATAATAACGTGTAGGGCAGCTGTCTCTGTCAGTTCAATGTGTGCATGGTGGTGGTGTTTAACACCCTTTCATATAGTGAACATTAAGGAACATAAAGATGCCACTAGCTTCTCTACTGTGGACTGATCCAGTTGTTTCTCGTGATTCCATGCTTGACTTTTTCAACTTTTTTCGAAGTCCCCACTTGATATCTTAAATCTTAAAAAGCCAATAAGAAGGAAGATTTTGGTTATGGAAGGTTTGGGGGGGAGTGAAAAAAGAGATTCTGCTTTATTTTATTAGGGTTATTAAACTGAGAACTACATTGCCAGTTTCTGAACTGAGAAGTATGACTGGATTTCCATGCATCTATTTATTTGAAAGCTCTGCCAAATACGAACAAATTTTTTAGGGTTAAGGTTGTCATGTAGTGTATCCAGGCAGAGTTTTGTCTTTCTTTGGCTTCAACTAATCATTGCCCATGACATTATTTTGGCTTACAGACCACATACAGTGTGAATTACATTAAAGCACTGGTGTCTGGAGATTGTTTAGAAATAGAATGGAATGATGGACATAAATCTAGGCAAGTAGACCACTAATGTGTATTATTATGGCCTGACAGTCGATGAGCACATGTAGCTCTGACTTATACAGTGGTGCAGCTTGGGGGTTTGGAGGTGCTTGTGAATCAGTTGCACATGGTACAAGTCTTATTTTGTGCTAGGTTCTCCATTTCTTAGAACTAAGCATATAAATATCTCTGCATGCATGTGAGCCCACTGTTAGACAAGCTAGAACAGTAGTATAAGCCAATTCATGTAAGGTACATTGTATGCAGAAATCTTCAACTACATAGTTACATACATACGTTAGTTGACCACTCCCCATGGGGGCTTTTCAGGACAACACCCACCTATCCCATCCCAGGGGAGGATGTCCACCACACAGTAATCTCGTGCATGGGAAATTGACGTCTCCTACCCCTGACCCTGCAGGAGATGGGGCCCACGGTTTATTCGTCCTTATCCGAGAAGACTAGAATATCTATCCATTTTTTTATTATAGAAAGGTAGCTGTGACCTCCCATTGACAAATCCTGTTAGTAGCCACAGACATGCCCCTGTTAGCCCTTCACTCACAGGAGACTAGGGACCTTAAGCAGTCAGGACGGCAACGCCAAGGAAGGCGTCGATTAAAAGATGAATTTATACTTTTAATCAGAATTTTGAAAATGGCTGCATGTATTTACCATCTCATACGGTGCCACAACTGACCTCAACATAACATATAAAAGTAGTGTTGACTTGTAAATGAAAATTAAAATAATTTGCCGTCATGGTTTTGGTTCAAAGACAACACAAAGTTTGGTGATTTCACATTGTTGTTTTACAAAGGATGGCTAAGAAATGTACTGTTTTAAAATGCACATGCTGAGCTATTGTTCTGCCAATTAGATCTTTTGTTTTTTCTTGTCCTTGTTGCCGTCACCGTTGTGGTTTGCTTAAGGTCCCTACTAGCATCTAAATGTGATTTCTCCTTCCAATGTCACCCCTGAATCGCACATGGTCATCTACCAATGGAGCTCTTGATCATTATCTAAGTTCTCCTTGTCAGCTCCATAGGAAATGTATAGAGAACAGTATTGAGAATATACATACTGACATTAGTGCCTTACTTTGAAAGGGTAATTGGTGGTGATTCACCCTAATTTGTGTGTGTTTTTAAGCAGTAAATGAACCACACTTTCTATTGGTTTACTAGCTAGCTTGAAAGAAACCACATGGGAAGTTGAAAGGTAGAGTATGAAAAAAGATTGTAAGTTACGAGCCATCGTTCAAACCGAAGCAGAAGTTGTTTTGCTTTCATGAGAAAAAATAGTTTACAGTAAATAGACTTTACTGTAAGCTCACTTGGCTTATGTTCACATGTAATGAATGTGAGCCATTATATCAAGCTAACCATTTGACTTGTTTAGTTTTTTTGTTTTGCAGGTTTCATAACAGCTGGTTAAGGTTTTCTTGCCAATGTGAACACTGTAAGCAGATGCATAGTGGCCAGAGGACAATTGACACCCTTTCTATTCCAGAACCACTTGAAATCTCAGATTTCTCACTTTCTAGTAAGTGCCTTTATCATTTGGCAAACACGTTCTAGTTGTAGCAATTACTAACAGTTGTTTAGAGAAAAGATTGCTCTTTTTAATAGTTTTGATTCAGATGCATGTGCATATAAATGTGTTGTTGTTTTTGGTTTATTTTCTTTAAGTTATTGCTTTTTAATCAGTTTGTTGAAGTGTTTGTCCTATAAACCTAATAATTATCATCAATTGGATGAATTAATCATAATAAGTAATGATAAAAAGTTGTCATCTTTCATGACTTTCATTAGGTTTCCATGTTTCTGGCTTGATACATTATGCACTGATGCTAAAAAGATGGTATTCATACTTTACCCTAACTCTCAGATGTGATTAACATGTAACTTCCCCCTTAAATATCCATACAATATTCAGCAAACAGGTAATGAGAAACCTCAAACTTATGGGACAGAAGATGTTATCTTGATCTGATGCTAAATTCTTGTAACTATAATTAATTTACAAATAAATCTGTAGCAGGTAAAGGGGAGAATTATCAATCAGGTCCTGGGAATTAAAGGTTCAAGATGACATGTTGTGACTGGCAACTACAATTTACAGGATGGTAAAACTGTGAGGTCTGGTGGCCTCATAGTTAGTGCATTCGACTCTAGATCGAGTGATCTGGGTTCGAGCCCTAGCTGGGGACATTGTATTGTGTTCTTGGGCACTTTACTCTCAGTATCTTTCTTTGCCCAGGAGAATAAATGGGTACCAGTGAAATTAATGCTGGGGGTAACCCTGCAATGGACTAGCATTCAATCTAGGGGGGAGTAGAAATACTCCTAGTCACTTCCTGCTGCAGAAACTGGAGTTAAGCGCTGGCCCGTTGGGCAACATGGCTCATAGGCAGGTTTTACCTAGTAGACCTTTTTACCAAAACTAAGAAACAAAGCATGCTTTTATTGCTTGATAATTGATGGATGTGTTTAGATGAGACTACCGGAAGTTAACCTATACACCTTAACATCAGTATGGATATTCTCCATACTGTTCTATACATCAGTATGGATATTCTCCATACTGTTCTCTAGACATTCCCTAAGTTATTAACAAGGAGAGTTTGTCTTACAGTGAAGTGCTTTTTGAGTTTGCAATCATTTTCCTTTATTCTGTTGACCTTAAATGTGTGATTCATGGGTGATACTTTTTGAGAGAAATGATGTGTAGTAAATGGGTTATAATAGTAATAATTATAATAATAACTTTATTATACACGGAATTAAAAAAGTTGATACTTATTTACATTGAAGCTGTTATTATCATCTCGGCAGGGATGGCGCAGTGGTGAGAGCACTCGCCTCCTACTGCTGTGGTCCAGGTTTAATTCCTGGACCTGACATACGTCACATGTGGGTGGAGTTTGTTGTTCGTTCTTGTCCTTGCTCCAATGGTTTTTCTCTAGGTCTTCCGGTTTTCCTCCCTTCCACAAAAACCAGCATTCCAAATTCCAATTCAATCTGGAAACAGTGGACATAAAGAACCACCCAGGGGAATGTCCATCTCTAAATTATTATTAATTATTGTGATTATTATAATTATTTTGATTATTACTATCGATTGTTTTATGAGAAATACCAAATAGGAAATTAGTCGTGGACCTTTTCCATGTCTGTGTCTTAGGTTTGCAAAAGTGCTGAAAGGGCCTTAATTGGTTCTTTTTGCAAGCGAAATGATTTCTATTAGTAATCTTTTCTATATTTTGCAGAAAATAAGGAGAATCTTGAAGTGAAATGGGAGAATGAAGGAGACCACCTGGGTGTACTCAACTTACAGTGGCTGAGAAAAAATTGTTACTCTGAAATGGCCAGAAAACTAGATAATAAAAAGAGAATCACTCAACCTCATATGGGCAAGGTACTTCCATTTGAGCCCTCATTGCCTGCATTAGTAACAGTTCATCCTGTTTTGTAAATAGAACAAGAAAGATGTCAAGTTTCAAGCTCGGTTAAGAAATAAAGAAAGAAGTTTTTCGTCTGTCATGAGCGTGGGCAAATGGAAAAATTCTGAGTCCCCATGAGGAAACCAACCTCAGACCTTCGGATTCCGCGCTCCAGTGCTCTAACACTGAGTCACGGAGACATTATGAGACCCTATTATGCTGTTTATATATGACACCATGACGCGTCCTGCATACTGTTAGGATCGACAATGTTAGTGGCGATTATCCAGTCTGACGCTTTAGTCTTATTTTTATGTTTCATGCTTTCTAACAGGACAGTTTGCCAGAGGTTGAATTTAGTACCATTATGGAATCAAGGGAAGGTCTTTGGAAGTAAGTTCCGTATGTAATGCATGACTCAAAAAGCTTTCAACAGGAAAAGCTGCTTATATTCGACTAATTATTCTTAAGTGAGTACCGCCTCCCGGTTAGCTCAATGGATGGAGCGCTGGACTGTTGTGCGGGAGGTCGAAGGTTCGAGCCCCGGCTGGACCAACACTCAGGGTCTTAAAATAATTGAGAAAAATTTGCTGCCTTTCTATAACATCAAGAAATGGCTAGATATTCTAGTCTTCTCGGATAGGGACGAATAAATGGAGGTCCCGTCTCCTGCAGGGTTGGGGTAGGAGACGTTAATTTCCCACACACGAGATTACAGTATGATGGATGTCCTCCCCTGGGTGGGATGGGTGGGTTTACAGTGGGCCATGTGTTAGAAATCTCTTTACTGGGTTAATCATGTATTTACCCTCTTGAAATAAAGTGCATTGTATTGTATTGTATTGTATTGTATTGTTCTACTGTATGAGCTAAGGAAACTGAAGTACATGTAAGAACAATTTGTCTTTAGAAAATGAATGCTTGATGTCTTTGCAACTTATACCATTTTTCAACTTTTTTTTGTTCTGTAAGACTACTATGATCAGGCAGTTTCGTCTCCTTTTAAGCTCGTGTTTCATCCTCGCTCTTTCAACAGATTGTTGTCTCAGCTGAGTGACCATGGTTTGTCGTTAGTGAAAAATGTCCCTTTTGAAGATGAGGAAAATGTGTTAAAGGTTTGCCAGCCATTTAATATTGATTTTTTTATTTTTACTATGTACATGTAGACTACGGGTAGTTCCTCCTTTTCGACAAAGTTCGTCGCGCTAATTAAAAAAAATAATAATAATAATAAAAAAATAAATATAATAAAAAATTGCTAAAGCACCTTATTCTAGAGCTTCAAGGCGCTTTACAGTAATTTTTAAAGCAGTAACTTAGTAAAATAATAAATTCGAAAAATGCTAATAAAAGCAAAACTGAAAATTAAAAAAGTGCTTAAAAAGATAAGTTTTAAGATTGCTCTTAAAAAGATGTAAGATTTAAACTACGTTTTAAATACTCCGGAAGATTTTTCCAAAGTTTTTAACCTCGATCTAGATGGCTTGTAAGTTTGCAAGAAATCATGAATATAGCTGGGACTTAAATCATTTAAAGCTTTAAAGCCAACAGTATGATTTTAAAAACAATCCTCTGCTCTACGGGAAGCCAGTGTATTTCTTTCTTGGGAAAAATCTGTGAAAAAATAAAAAAAAAAATGATGCTAGCGCGCCATGTGGAACTCTGAGTGTGAGGCGCACGAAAAGTAATTTCGTTCGCCTCACTGCCAGAGTTCCGCGTGGCGCTGATTTTTTTACGGACACTATAATGCCTCTACTTAGAACTGAAAATGAATAAGGGGGGGGGGGGGGAAGTTTTCAAAGAAACTGTGGTGCTACGTTGGTGGGGGCTTGCAAAATGGTTTGGTTTCATTAACTAAGTTGAGAATAACGTAATTGGCCACCGTAAAGAGTCTTTAAAGCTGAAGTTTCGAACGCTAGCCCTTCTTCGTTCGCTCTGACGTAGGGCTAACGCTCGAATAGTCAGGTTTAGAAACTTTTTACGGTGGCCAATTTACATCTTCAACTTGTTCTTCAACTTCATCTTGTTCTTTGAAAAATTCGTCTTTGTCTCTGACCATAAGCTAATTAAGCCCCCGGCTTTGGCCAATCTTAGGAATTCACTTGTGTGACACAAACAATAATAAACTATCAATTGAAACTATCAACTCAGTTGTAAAACCAAATTATTTTGTGATTAGAAGTGACATTGTTTTGGATAATTCCTAACCATTATTTACAGTTAGACACTTTATTTTGTAGTTTGCCAATAACTTGGTATGTAACTTGAGTATGAAATTAGAACATCAGGGGGTTTCATTAATGTTTTCTGCAGGAGGGCAACTGGTTTTTTCCAGGGCAAAACGTTTTGAACCGAACTTCCTTGTAAGACTAACTTTCCTCCAGATCGTCAAAGCAGGTGGGCAAATCCGTCCTCACAAACGGTCAATTTTCCCAGTGCCCAGCCCTTAATGAAACCCCTGTAACATGTCACTAACTAGCCTTCCATTCGATTCTCCCCTGATGTTTCAGGTTGGAAGACTAATTGGACCGATACAAGAGACCATTTATGGAAAAGTAGGTTATCAGAGAGAGACTAAGCGACTGATCATAAACAGAGGCTGGCTTTTAGATGAAAAAGAAATGAATATATATTAAATGGAGTTATCACTGATAATTGTAAACTTACTAAGCTTTGATCGCTATTTAGGGCAATTGCCAATTGAGTGTCGAAAGTAATCTGGGAATGCTTTTGATTGATCTTACGTACTTGCGCTCTGTGATTGGGTCAGAAAACGTGCCACGCATTCTCAACCAATCAGATCCAAGACTTAAACCGATCGTGATTTGGTCACGCGCGTTTTCCCGCGTCCACGCAATTTGTCTATTTTATCCTCGATTTTCATTGGCTGACAATGATGTCGACCTTCGCTCCGATTGGCCATCGTAATTACTTTGGTTTTGGGTCATCAAAACTTACTAAAAACTGCCTTGTCATGTCCAGCCATATGTTACGTAGGATATTTGAAACTTGCCACCAGATCTCATTAATATTGCAGGGAAGGTGTGATTATTCTTCATTTGAATGCAGTTTAAGTGTAATCAGTCATTTTTCTTACGATAGAAATATGTAAACCTTTGTACACCGGCTAAGCTTACCTAAAAATTTGAAACTTTCTGCTAGACCTCTAGCCTTGATCGCTTAGTTGATTCTTCTTCGAATAGATGAAATTCCAAGATTCTATCCGTTTATCTCACGATGTGGATCGTTACACTTTTTCTGCAAACTGCTAGTTTCCGTCAGGCGCTGAGTTGGACTAGATATGCATCACCCTATGAAGCATGTGCTCAGTTCTGATTGGCTGGTATTCAAGAGCTGTGACTGGCGTATTTCGGAGATGTGTTTTATCAACGGTCCGTTGTCGCACGGCCAACGCAGCGGTCAAACGTAGCGCTTGCGCGAGGGAGGAATTTTGGTCGCTCGTGCGCCAGTTTCCCGCGTAAAATTTCAAGAGAAAGCATAAGAAACAACCGCTGGTTCGCGAAAAAAAATAGCGAAAGAAAATATTGAAACGTTCATAGGAATCTGTAAGAAGGAAACGAAGTGGAGGATAGAAAAACTCGATACTTTTCGAACACAGAGCTTATTCAATTAAGTGTATCCTGCTTACAATTTACCTTTCTGTTTTGAGCCTCACTAAGGGTGTTGTACGCTTTTAAGACATCGCGACTTACCGTGACTTGTATAGTTTGTAACTCGTGTGAGACAACTTGGTTCTGGCAGCGACGAAACACGCCACCCTGTCATTACAACGCTTGCACATGCGCAGACGCGATTTCTCCGTGGGGTGGGTGGGTCCCTGTTTTACCCTATTTGTTTGTAACGATGGGGATCACAATTGATAAATTTGACTTCGTTCTGATGTTGTGGGTGCGCTTTGAAATGTTGGAGGTCTGAATCTTTCAGAGTCGGATATCTATGTTATGCTCCTTGATTCTCCTTTATACATCCTGATGCAAACTTTACCACACTTACTGAGAATCTTGTAGACCACGCTATTTTGTTTCACCGGGATTTCATTTTTCACTTATTTGGTGGTTTGTTCTCATTTTTTCGTATTCTTCTGTTGCAGACATTTGATGTGGTTGCCACTCCAAATCCAATTAATATTGCATATTCCAATGTAGGCCTTGGATACCACATGGATCTTGTTTACTATGAGTCACCCCCTGGACTGCAACTTTTGCACTGTCTTAGGTAAGGCAACATGTAATGACGGGTATTTTCGCATGCATGATGGACACTCGATTTGACGAGGCGCGAGTGTTAAAGACCGCAATGCGCGAGCGAGAAGTTAGTCACGCACATATAAGTCTCGTGTCTGGTATCTCGCGCGTGTGTTTGACCGGGCGCAAGTGATTAAGGTGGCTGAACACAGTTTTCGCGCGCCCTTTTGCTGATGCAATTCAGCGCGCGCACAAGGATTGCAAAAAACAAACATTCCGTCAATAGAGCGGTCATTTTATTAACTCAACACGTATCCGCACTATCTGTGCTATTTTTCTCTGTAGTTGGCGCAGTTTATTGAGTGCTTTAATCATTTATTACAAAGACATGTTAGAAAAGATAACGGTGCAAAGAACCCAGCAATTCTCAGCTTTGTCGTCGTTACCGAAAGAATCCAGTTAAATGCAGCGCATGCGTAGTAAGTAAAAAAATTGCGATTGAATGGAAAATTGCTTTCTCGGAAATATGCCTATTTCTTGAGAACCACTCTTTAGAATTTCACGAAATTTGGCACGAAAATACTTAGGAAATAAGTAACTGGAGTATTGAAAAAAATTGATTTTTAACAAAGGAAATTCTAGATAATCGAGTGAACCTTCAACAAAAGATAATGAAAAATCTCTGTTAAATTTTTAGCAAAATGATGTTAACTTGTGAGTATCGTTACAAGCTCGTTGCATGCAAATTATAAAGAAAATCTAATGACTAGATTTTCTACAAATAAACAAAACCGAAGTGAAGGTGTAGTCTGATCGTCCGGGTGAGTGTAGTCCTGAGAAGGACTGTTGTCGGTGGTAGTGACTGACGTTTCGACAACCTGTGCGGAAGTCATCATCAGAGTCAAGTGAATGATTGTTGTTAATAGAATGTTCTTATTCCAGTTCGTGTGAAATGATCGGTTGGTTTTGCCGTGATGTTATTGGCTGTAAGACTCAAGTGACGTAAGTCGGTCGTGATTGGTCTGTTTCGATCTGTCGGTAAAGTTAGGTCGTTCTTTTTCGGTCGTTTGTGATGTTTATGTCGTGAATGAGTCGTTTGTATGGAGCGGGTAGTTGTTGACATCTGTTTAGGGGAGTCTGTTCTAAGTTAGTAAACCAGCTTTCCAGAGTCAGTCGTTGAAAATAGTCAGTGCTGTAGGTTAGGCATTGCGCAGTGTCGAAACGTCAGTCACTACCACCGACAACAGTCCTTCTCAGGACTACACTCACCCGGACGATCAGACTACACCTTCACATGTTACCCCCGGGTTCAAACCATTTACTGTAAAACAAAACCGATTTTAAAAGCCTGTTTATATTTATTCATGTCGCCATGGCAACGGCACATATATCAGCTAAACTATCAAAAAAACAAAGTTTGTTTCGTTGACTTGCTTGCTGCCAGTTTTGGCGACCGAGAGATCAAGGGTTTTAGAGAAAATGGTGAAAGAAACACAAGTATCAAAAACTGTGTTCAGCCACCTTAAGACTGCGACCGCAATGCGCGAGCGAGAAGTCACGCGCCCTAAAGTTTGTTACACGCTTGTTACTTGCTTTCTTGCCCAGCGCCTTGTTGTATCTATTAGATTAAAAGCGCGAAAGTGCAGTTATAACATAACCAAAGTAAAACGCAGGCTTTGATTGGTCAATTCAGTGTACACCATTTGCCCATAGGTGTGCGATGCGGACGTGAGCCAATGCAAAGACTAGTTTCCTCGCACTTATTTTTTCTGGCCACGTAAGATTTCTTTAGGGACTTTAAGCATCGACTACGAAATGCACGACGACGACGTTTGCAACCCAGGAGGATTGGGTGCAGGGTTTCGTTCTCGGCGGGAAAAACGAAAGTTAAGCAGTGTGTTGTTTTGAGGCGACGACGAATCTTGGTTCTTTGACTAGTTGCTCTTGTTATGGCTTTTAAAATAGTCCGAAATCTGCTTCTAATTAATCGCAACGATGGCTTTATCGATGATGATGAATTTGTTGTTCTGCATACGACCTCTATGCATTGAAAAGCCTTGACTTTCCGCACGATTCGTACGTACCTTTTGACCTGGAAGAGCTTGATGAGTCTGAGAGTTTTGCAGAGTTTTGCTTTGAAAAACGAGGTATACGAATTTTTTTCTTTCTTTTGCCTTCTTCTCGTTTTTCTGGGCGTCACTCTTATCTTCTGCGCTCTTCTCTTGCTCCCAAATCTCCTCCAGCAAGGTATCGAACTCTGTGGGCTCGGGGACATCGATCCCAGATGCTTTCTCCTCTTCTCTTTGCTTTAGTTTATGCCGGGAGATCAGAAGTGCATATCGATTTGTCACTGCCCCCGCTGTAACCCTGAACTCTTCAGAGAATTCAAATAGGCGGCGATGCTTTCCCGTACTTTCCTCTCTCACTGCTTTTCGGTTTAAAATTGTGAGGTTCGCTCGTTACAGCTTCTCGGAAGCATCAGGACATCATGGTCTTCCGTCCAAACAAAGTGCCTGGATTTACTTGCTGTCAAAAGAACACGAAAATATATTTTTTTAGTACCAAAACTGAAGATTTATACCTTGAAGAGCAACTTAAAATTAGGACAATGATAGGCAGGTCTAAAATAAGAAAAACATGATTTCAAATATCCCAATATTCTCCTTAAAGAGATACAGAAAATCTTACTTTTCTTTTGAACTGGTTCTTGCTCAGCTGTGTTGTAGAGTATTTTAAAGGATTGCTATTTCGAGTATTTTTAAGGTTTACCTTTTGTTTTGTTAAGTCTCTCCTTTTTGCGTCTACGTGTTATTTTGGTAAATCTATAGTTTTGATCTTTTATTTTTAGTGTGTGCTTGAACTTGGCTCGGTTCGTGGATTTCCTTCTTACCGTGCTAGACATTTTAATCGCTTGTTAGGGTTGAGAATAATTAGTTTCATAGGTGGTCATGTTTGTGTTGGTAAAGCTGGCCTTGAGTTTTACCTACACTAACATCCTGTTTGTGCGCGTGATTCTCGTGCGCAGCTCAATCATTGGCGTTTAATTGGTTCTTTGGTGCTCACCAAGTGCTTCGGAGCGAGCCAACCAGTTTCCCCCTCTTTGCAAAATAACAGATACACTGTGGAAACTCTCACGGTCAGCTAACCCAAACATGTCTACGATTTTCCAACTTAAAGCGTTGGCTCCTCACGCTAGAGCATTATTATTAGATGCATAGAGCGTTGCTGTAGTAGCTCTCCAGAAGAGAACAAAGAAGAAAATTACAGTCTTGGTACCTTTCGTTAATTCGTCCAAGCGAGCTGTAAAACCCCCCAACAGCTGTAGAAATGTGGCCGGCCATGGTTTCGGATGCTTCTAAAAGAAAAGTCATTTTAGTTTGTTAAAAGTCGCCAAACTGTTGAACATTTGACTTCCGATGGTCCGCGCATAATGCATCAAACAATCATTACATCAAAAGGTGGAAACGGATGATTATCAGCGTGTAAAAGTTAAGCTGTTTACTTACGTTTTCACCAGAACGTAAAACCTGCTCAGATTCAGTCGTCGACGAAGGCTGGACGACCGCCTGGTTAGCTCAATTGGGATAGCGCCGGACTGCAGTGCGGGAGGTCGAGAGTTCAATACCGGCCGGACCAACACTCAGGGTCTTAAAATTAACTGAGAAGAATATGCTTCCTTTCTTTAACATCAAGAATTGGTTAGATATTCTAGTCTTCTCGGATAGGGACGAATAAATGGAGGTCCCGTCTCCTGCAGGGTTAGGGGCAGGAGACGTTAATTTCCCACGCACGAGATTACTGTGTGATGGATGTCCTCCCCTGGGGTGGGTTGGGTGGGTAACAGGACCCCCGTTGATACCAGTGTTTACTACACTGAAGGGGCTATCCTGTATAAATATAGATGTCTGTCTGTCTGTCTGTCTGTTTTGACAACATCGCACATGCGCAGAACGTTCGCGCAGGAAAATTTTACTTCCGCCCGTTGTCGTCGTGCCATTTCGTTGTCGATACTTAAGGTCCCTAGAGTTAAAAAGAGAACTCTTTTGTCACAATGTATGAGTTTTATGTTATAAGAAGTTTAGAGTCGCTCTCGGCTATCGCCTCGCGCGATTCTTACACTTTCGTGCTTAGCAACCTCCCGCGTGCATCCATAACCCAATAGTAAACGCTGTGGTGTTTACCATTTGTTAAATATGGAAGCACGCGGTTTTCCGTGGCCGGGCCTCATTTCTTAACCAATTCAAATGATCTATTAACAGACAACTGGGTAATGTCTGGATTGTGATTTTGTCAGGTGCATCAGCTGTTCTGTTTCTTTCCTTTTTTTCTTTGTGCAGGTTTGATTCTGGCATCGAAGGTGGGGAGAGTTTATTTCTAGATGCCTTTTACATTGCTGAGGAATTCAGGAAAAAGTTTCCTCAAGAATTTGATGATCTTGTTAGAATTTCAGGAACATTTCAGAAGATACATTTTGAAAGGTATCCTTGCTTAATAAATAAGGAACACTTGTATGTAATAGTCACAGCGGTGAACAATGAACCGGTCGGTTGCCACAAGAATAGACGATATGCTAAATTTTTATTGAGTGTGCTAAAACTCATACACGTATGTTACAACGGCCGATAAGATTACGAGGTCTCTCTCCTGGAACTCCAGGCGGCGGAAGATGAGCGACCCTGGGAACGAGGTTGCTAAATTAGGACTTTAAAGGGAGTGAGAGGATTGTGCAGTGGTTTGAATGCCCGCCTTCCCTCGCTGTGGCCGGGTTCGATTATCAGATTTAGGGACTCATGTCACTACAGTACAGCACAGCACAGCAGCGCGTTGGCGACCGTGTTAGAGTATTTTTCACTATGCCTTCTCTATATTGCAGTCATTTTGTTGATCTCTTATTTAGTGCGCAGAGAGTGAGTTATCAAGGCGAGCACATCTTTGTCTTTAAAAACGTTTCAAAAACGATTTTACAATTTTTCTTACGTTTGTGTGCTAGCTGACCTGATAAAGTTACGTTATTTTCCCCCAAACATATTGCCTTGAAAATATGCTTTCACACCGCAAATACTTCTAGGAAACGCGACAGCGGATTTATTTATTCGTTTTTATTTTGTAGCGAGTGATTTGTTTTTCATTTTTTAATGCTTTTTTATATTTATTTGGTCTTGTGTTTTCTTATCAAGGGATTATCCAGTCAAGTTAGTTTACAAGAGACCACACATTGTTCTTAGCTCAGATAGAGAGGTATAGTAATCAAATTTGAAAATTTCACTCTTGCAGGTAACGCTGTGCCCGTTTGTTTGTTTGTTTGTTTGTTTGTTTGTTTTGGGATGCCTAAACTAAGTACTTTTTTCTCCAACCTTTGAATTTTTTTTAGATTATAGCCGTAAATTGGGCACCACCTTTTGAGGGTCCCTTGTCAGTTCCAGAGGTAAGATTCACCGGCACAATAATTATCTAGTTATTAATAACTATTACAATTATTAAGAAAGTATTATAACTATTGTTATGATAACTACCACAATGATAGGCCATTACCGAGTTCTAAACGACCTCACTTTCAAAATAAAATCAAGTGCAAAATATTATTTTTGCAAGTATGAGTTCTGATTGCATGATGATTATTATTTATTTTCTTCCAAAGGCCTTGCGCTTGGCCTCATTTTTAAAATGGGAATTCCTATTTTTTCGTTATCACAGGAAGATGTTGAACCATATTATAAAGCATACAGATTATTTTCAAAAATGATGGATGAATCTTCTTTACAGGTAATTGCCTTTTTACGTAATAAAGCGCTAAAAACATCGCTGAAAACATCACCATGAGACTGCGCGATTCTTGATTGCATGCATGGGTTAAATTTCTTAAAGTTCCATGAGTTCTTACGCTGGGTAAGAAGAACTCTTCCGAGATTTGATAAGGTAACCAGCTGGGTCCAGTGGTTCGAAGGCCGATTAGCACTAACCCAGGGTTAAATTTTAATCCAGGTTTCTTTGTTTCTCTATTCAATAGCCTTTTTGGGGTAATATTCCCTTATTGTCTAGAACATCCAATCATCAGTTTGTTAAAAAAAAGAAAAATTTAACTGAGTTTTCTTTTAAAGCATTCCGATCTGAAATCAAATTTCACGCTAGTCCTAAGCTATCTAAGCCCAGCTATAAAAACCACGGTCCAGCTGAACTTTATAACCCAAACATTCCTTTTAATATCTCCAGTTTGATCGTTTTGTAGACACGTGAGTTTCAATAAAAGCTGGTTTTCGGCGTTCTACCTTCGCCTGTAATACTTCTGACCACTGTCTGTTGAGCCTGCGTGCAGGCTCTCGATCGTGTCTGGGTTTCAACTTGCGTCCCCTTTCCGCACCCAGCCGCCCTTTAAAACCTTCAGCAGTCGCTTATGGGAAGAGTTATTGAAACCCCGGAGATAGCATTGTTCTCTAGTTATGTCCTTCCCCGTCAAGATCTGCTATTTCCTGTCCATATCGGCGTTGTCGTTCAGCAGGGTTGTAGCTAATAAGAAATCACGTTGCCGGCTAAAATTTCAGGTGAGGTAGCTCAAAGGTGGTGAACGATTGTAAGTGTGTAAAGTCGGAAGTGCCCGTTGTGCCTAACTAAGTGATTGCCGGCCAAAAATCCAGCCGGCAATCGCTGCTTTTTCACCCGGAAAATTTCGCCAGCAGCCGGCGCTTAGCTACAACCCTGGCCGTTGTTGTTGATGATTTTTAGCTCAAAGCAATTGCAAATTTAGAGGAAACAGTTACTAATGAAAGTGTGCTTTTTCTGCTTGCAGAAATCGGTGAGGTTACACCAAGGAGACTTAGTATGTTTCAACAATCGGCGTATTCTTCACGGAAGAAACTCATTCACTTTAAATGGCGGAGTTAGGCATTTTAAGGTATTAATGGTGAAACAAGCTTCTTTTTAAGAGCCAAGATCGTTAAAGTTCTTGCTTACCCTTCCTCGTGAACTTTTCTTATAATCTTCCGAGTTCTGTCCTGAAAGAAATACTGAAATGTGATGCATGCTGAGAGAAGTTTATACTTTTGTCAATATAATTAGACACTTTATTTCAGGGAAGAACGATAAGGGTGGAAATGGTGGAACGGACGGGGAGCCAGAGGACGAAGAGGTTCGGGGGGAAGGTGGGCTGGCCGATTCCAGCTCGCCCTCTCGAACGAATGCGAGGTACAGGATACGAGACGTTCGAGATGAAGAATGTTTCAAGTGGGTCGTTCAAGTCCAAAACCAAGGCGAGAATAATGGCAATAATTACAATTGATAACAACCCAACCGAACAAAGAAATTTCTCAAGTTGGCTTGGGAACTCGAAATAAAATCAAGAAACTACCTGGGGAGTGCAAAAGGGTGAGGCAATAAAGCAATAATGGCTGGTCCCTAAGAGGAAAATCATGAGCTACTGCAATACACAGTAGAGTTGTGGGACTTTACTAAAACGAAAATACATTTCTGTTCTTGTTAACCCAGGGTGCTTATGTCAACATCGACGAGTTTAGAAATACGTTCCAAGTGACATCAGAACTAGTGGGATCTGGAGAGCCCTGCAGGAGAACTGGCAACCATTGCTTTCTTTAGGAAAGCACAAGAATTAAATAATCGTTTTTATTTGTCTTCATTTCCATGAAATTGAAATAACGAAATTTTAGGTAGAATGAGGAAATTATTGCCTGCTGGAGCTGGCTCTTTTGATTTTTTTGGATTTAACACCCTAAATACTTCACCAAACCTCAAAAATATTTGCACCTGCGAAGACGTTTAACCGCTGTGTTATCATATGGAGGGATATTGATATAATATAACAAATGAAAGCTTTGTGATTGGTTATTGCCTGAAGTGAGGCAAAAGTAATGGATATTTATAACAGAATAAACTGTAACTCGTTGTTACCTGCGATTTCTCAGCGATAGTATTATGAGTTTTGTCTTGTACAGGCGACCTTGTGTCAGCTCAGAGGTGATGCTTGCGTAATGAACATGTAGACAAGTTTTTTTAAAAAAAAAAATATCTGAGAGTGCACTAGATTTAGAAAGAAGAACACCAACAAATTGCATGTTTTTTCTTCTTTTTTTGCGTCCTTGATTCATAATGTTACTGCTATTATTATATACATACCGAGATTTAGGCCTAGTCCACACATATCCGGATATTTTCGAAACGGAGATTTTTTTCTCCGGATTTTGAAAACATCCGCGTCCACACGAACCGTATTACAATCGCATTTGCCCGTCCACATGTAAACGCGCTTACGTTTTAAATGCGCTAGACCTCACAGACGGAGCATGCACATGCTAATGGCGCATGCGCCCTGTGATAAGTAGAAGCCTACGAAAATCAGAGAGTTTGCTGCCATCTTAAATAAATAAATAACTTAACTTTAATAGCTAACTTAATTACTGGTAACCCAGTAGTTTACATTGTGGGCTATAAACAAATAATTCAAATTGAACATAACATTGTTAAGAATCCCAACTGGCCTCCCCGATCTTTGTTTGGGCTCTCCTCGTGTGAGTTTCTCCGCTTTATTTCTGTAATTCAGGCCGTTAAAATCCCAAATTCTTCCGAAGAGACAAGTAATGAAACGCCAAAATCTTCCAAAAAGGCAAGTAAATCGAAAGGGAAAGGGATGGCGGACTCGTTTTTGTGGTCAGACGATGAAGTTGAAGTACTTTTGAAAGTTACTCACTCCTCGTTGATGACGATTCCGTTAACGAAGTTGTCCCACCACGCACTGGACCCTAACTTTGACGTCATCGTATTAAAAAACCTTTGTTATTTTCGACCGTCTACACGAATACGATAAATCTCCCTTCTTAAAAATCTACAGTCTGGAGAGCGTATTTAAAAATCTCCGTATTTGTTGCCAAAAACGCCGTTTACGTGTGGACGGGAGGTGCAAACGGAGAAAAAAAATATTCGTTTGCGAAAATATCCGGATACGTGTGGACTAGGCCTTACACGCCAAAAAGCATCGAGTTAGAAATAGTCTCTTCGCGCTAGAGGAGCCAGCTGATTGGTCATACGATTTTTTTTTTTCACTAGTGAAAAACGACGTATCGACACTGTGATTGGCTATATCATTATTATCACAAGTGAGCAAAACCGTGTTGCTCGCTCGCCGCTCCTCTTGACTGACAAATTGCACATTTTTAAGGCCCGGTTCAAACGTCGAATTTCACATGTGCCGAACTTAATGCGAGAGTTAAATGCATGTGAAGTGCGACGTTTGAATCAGTTAAATTCGACCGTTTTAAATTAAATGCGACTTTTGCCGTATCTACGACTGAAACAGTCGAAGATTCGACTTAGGTTCGACTTTTGATTCAAACGTCGCATCTCAAATGTGCCGAACTTAATGCATGAATTACAGGAAATTATTATGATTCATTTATTACCCACAACTCGCCAGGACTTCTATGAATGCCATGCGCGAAAAAGCCAAAACAGCACAAAAAAAAAAAAAAAAAAAAAAAAAAAAAAAAAAAAAAAAATAGTGGGAGACGAAGAAATTTGTTGTTCTTGCTTTGAAAAGACAAAATACAGTTGTTTGACGTGCGGTAATTACTTTTGTATGAGGTGTTCGGTTTTTGAAAACGAAGAGGGCACTCCTGGGTGGAAAGTAGGAAACTCTGTTGCATATTGTGGGTCGTGTTTCAATGAAATGATGGAACGTGAATCAAGTGAAAGTATCATGACGAAAAGCCAAGACAGAGAAGCAAAAACAAACCGTAAAACAAGAGCATCAGTGAGGAAATTAAGCAAACGCTCAATAGACGTCTTCGTCTAGCAAATAAGTAGTGCGCCTGGGAATATCGACAGCGAACAGAGTTAAATTCGACTGAGTTAAATTCGAAGTTTGAATCAAATGCTGTATTTAACTATTTTAGTTGACTAAAATAGGAGTTAAGTTAGGCGCATTTTTCTTTACAAAGATGGCTTGAAATCAGACTAACCGTTTTCAGAGCCTAGATTCATCAGCAGAAGAGTTCATAGACGGACAGGAAAATGAAAACATCAAGAAAAAGACCAAACACGATGTCGCTCTGTTCCGCGAATTTCTTGTTTTGAAATTAAAGGCGAAACAAAAACAATAAAATCAAGTCTCAGGTTTTGAACTTCCATAGAACTATTTCGACATATTTTCAGCATGTCTTAATTTATTCTACCTAGTTCTGCCTTTTAACGGAATTTTCGCTTGATAATTTAGATGTAAAGAAGTATTTTACAAGGAAGCCATTTCAGTGCACCTCCCGAACGACGGCTTGACCGCATGTTGCTTTCCTTTGAAAGATAATAAAGATATGTTTATCTCTGAGTTCTGTTCGCTTATGAATCTTGGTATGTATATAATAAATAAGTTATTTCACGGATAGTTCACTTGTACGATTTTTATTCACTCAACGTGTAAATAAAAATCGTACGCGCTTACCAACCTTGAAATAACCATGAACTATTATGTATCCCCAAATTGAGAATTTGGGGTTTTCTTTTGTTTACATTGTGTATCATGTTGTAACAATTTTTTAAAAAAAACATTAATATTTACATAATCGAATCGAAATAATCGAAATCGAAAGGTAATAATCGAAATTGAATCGAATCGCAAGGAATATGAATCTTTACACCACTAGTCGGAGGACTTTTTCGTGGGGGTCACATGATTTTCAATGGGAACAGCAGGAGGACCAGTGTTGCTATAAGAGTTTAAAGGAGTAGCTATAACGAATTTACTACCAATTAACCTTCATGAGAGAGGGGGCCTGAGAATATGACAGAAACTTTTGGACGATCTGGTAAATTTTATCATGAAAACGCCTCCCTTCCCCCCCCCCCCCAGACGATCAGTTCAATGCTAAGGGACTGGTCAGTAATTTACTGACCAGTCCCTTAGCAATGAACT